AACCACCGACTTTCACCCAAGAAGCCGGGCTCGGCGCTCTGCTGCTCCGTCTCCACAGACAGAGTGTCCAGAGTGCGCTCTGCCACTCTGAGAGTGCGATGCTCTGGATAACCCAACGCTACATTCAGGCAGCGCTCCCAATTTATCAACGCTCCAGTTTGTGTCAGAGTGCACTCCCACACTCACAATGAGTGTTTCTGAACGCACCACTCACATCATCTTCCTCCACTGTTATAAAACAAGACAACACAACTTGTTAGCTAGCGCTAGCTAATGTCTGTGGAGAACTGTTGTGCCTCCAGCTAAGCCCCGCCCACCGAGAAACGTCACACTGTGTACTAACAGTTAAAGGGTCTATTTAGGGGTTAAAAAGTGTTAATGTTGGTCGTCTTCTCCTTCTTGTGTTTTAAGATGGTTGAACTGGGCTTCAGGCACATTGTTGGAGTGGACGGCAGTAAAAACATGCTGGAACGAGCTGCAAAGACCGGCCTCTATCAGGACCTCAAACTGGCATTACTGGGACCAGAACCACTGCCTGCACATACTGGTACACCTCACACACACTTCACACACTCTGATTCACTCACTGCTCATCTTTGAATGTGACAATGATTTCTGGAAACTGAACCTGGCTCTTCTTCCTCCTCTTCTTCTGGTTTTAGACACGTTTGATGTAGTGATCACGGTTAGTGGTCTGGATGCCGGTTATGTGCCAGTTAGTGTTGTCAGGGAGCTCTGCCTCGCCGCCAAACCAGGTAACCAGCTCCAGATAAGCAGATGTACCATTTTAGTTCCAGTTCTCTGAATCAATAACCAAGACTGTGATGTCCACAGGAGATGAGGGGGGCACTTGGGTTGTTGGGGCTGTTTGGAGCCTGGGACCTGCAGACAGAACTCAGGGCTCAAAAAGCAAATGCAAACCTTTGTCCTCCATCAGGTCTCTGAGGATTTTTCCAATATTAAACCAAGACCTCCAATCGGACAGGGGTGGGGGTTTTTTTCTAGGGATGACCCTGAAGGTCAAAGATTCAAATCATCATTTGGAGACCAATTGGATTCTTCAAGTCAAGCAGACATTTATTTAGCCTTAACCTTTTTTATGAGTGACTAAGTGAGTTAAACCAGCGGTCTGAGTGACTGATGGTGAGTGTTGGTGTTTCCCCAGTCTGAATCAAATCACAGTAACTCAGTGTGCCGTGATTTTTGTGTGTGTGTGTTTGTCTCCAGGAGGTTTTGTCTGCATGTCGAGAGGCGACTCCAGAGGAACAGATGAAGGAACTGAAGAAAGAGCTGCAGCTGATGGAGGACAAAGGACTGTGGAGTCTAGTAGGAGTCAAAGAGATGGATGAATACATGGAGGACCAACATCTGACTGCTGAGAGACTCAAAGACCTGCAGCCAGAGGAGCGATACATCAGTGGGAAGGTTTATCTCTACAAGAAATCCATGATTTAGTAGAAAATAACAGAGAACCTTGGAGTTGGAGTGGACCTGGAGTTTCACAGGCACATCAGATATCATGGAGATTCCCACAGGAATGAATGGATTTCCGGTTGCCTCGTCTCACTGCACATACGTAAGTGAAACGAGTCGTTAACTCAGAGACAAAGAAACATGATTAATATCAAACTATTTTCCTGTGTAACCCTTCAGTGCCTGAATGTGTACACTTTAACAATGTAAGGTTAAAAGCAAATAAACTGATTGTAAATCAAACCAGCTGTGTGACGTGAATTGTTCAGGTGTAGTTGACCATGAATGAAAGTGACCCGTGTTGATGACAAACTAATGAGTTTAAAACATAACCATGTGTGGCTGTGACCATCACACATGTACATATGAAAAGGATCAGACATGTTATATCTGTCTTTCTATGATCGCTGCTTCTCCCTCCCTCCTTTCTATTGGTGCATCACTTCCTGTTTTTTGACCAATAGGCTTGCCCATTGGAGCAGAGTCGTCCTCTCACTCAGCTCATCAGTGTAACACAGGTGTGTAAGCTACTACAGACAAAGACCCTGATGAAGAGTCATTGACCCTGATGAAGAGTCATTGACCCTGATGAAGACCTGGGAGTCACAAAGTGTTCGTCTTTTTATTCTATGCTGCCATGTAAAATAAAGGCACAAACCCTACAGTGTGCCTTTGCAGGAGACTTGCATTTTATATTTCTTGATTGAGAGTATACTTCATTCACACAATGAGCCCCTCACAAGAATAAATAGGGCAAGTGTTGTCATTTATAACCTAAAATTAATTGCCAGTGCTTTATTGTTCCTTCAGAATAAAACAGCAGCTGCACATCTGTCTCTGTGCACACAGGAAGAGCATATATCAGGCTGTAGATACACACTACTCAAGACTTGTTAGATACATTCACTGTTAGAGTCTAATTATAATAAATATAAAATATACAGACTGAGACTTTAAACCAATCAGAGCTGATCACATGGCGTTAGAGGAGGAACGTCTATTTGATGACTTTAAAGGATGACGGTTGGTTTTTATCACCGGAGGAAAATAAGTAACGTAAAGAAAAATGAGCTCAGAGAACATGTCTGAGCTCAGAGAACATGTTGGACTGCAGGGCAAACATCTCTGTCTGTGCATTCCTGTGTTGCTGACTCTACATGTCAGCATCAGTCATGTTAAGAACATGTTAACCGTCTCCTCTCCGGCAGGTTTGAAGTCGTCTCCTCATCATGTCAGACTGCAGCACAGCTGTGGACCATGTGAAGACACAACTTCAGTCCTGCAAAGGCTTCGATCCACAGCTGAGGATGAAGTTCTGTGACAGCTGGACAGAGACGTACGAACCATCATCATCCTCACTGTGACCTCGTCACATTTCCACGTTTGGTCATGGACTTTCCACGTCCACATATGACGTCCAAGGTGCCCTGGGTGTGTTGGTTGTTGACATTCTGGGACGCCGCCGTGTCAACTTCAGCCTGTTACATGCATTGTCTGTTTTCAAAATACACTTCTGTTTTCACAGGAAATGTACAGTTTGCATACAGTCTCTTTCAAAATAAAAGCACTGCGTCAGTACAACACTGCCAACTGACACCATCACGTGGTTGGGTTTAGAAAAAAGAACCGGGTTTGACTTTACAGTCTTTACGGAAAGTAAACACCAACCTCTCAGGTGAAAGTTGGTGGTTGTTGGACCCATCTGCAACACCTCCCACACAATCTACTCGAACTTCTGCTGCCTCATCTTTTGTTGTTGTCCCCCCACGTTTCCCCCAACGCTGTCGAGCGCTGTTAAACAGTAACAGCAACCGGCCACGCATCATGCTGATGTCAAAGAGTGTACTGTAAATTAATATCAATGGTATCTGAATGAGAAGAGCAGGAATCTTCTTCTTTGTTGGTGTTTTACAGCACTTGGCGTCCTTCAAGTGACATTACTTCCTCCTTCTGGTTTTACCCGATACTGTTATCCTGATCTCCTCCAGTCCTCTGAGTCCTGTCATTTTCAAAAACCTAAATATCACCTCTCTCCGCTCCATCTTGTCGCCACTCTCAAGCACTCCCTTAATCCTGTCCTCCCTTCATCCTCTCCTCTGTAATCCTGTCATCATCACCCTTCTTTCCTCCTCATATTTCCTGCACAAATACGAGCATTGATCGCCGACTCTTTTCTACAGTGACCAGTTGGATTTTTTCCTGATACAAAAACTGTGCTTTTCAAGCTGTTGTGACCTGTCCCAAAATATGTGTATGGTCTCTGGTCTCTGACCAGACCACAGCTCCTCCACGTCACCTGAGGGGTATTAAAAAATCTCATCTTGATTTTCAGTTCGAACTCCTTTCAAACAGGCTGTTTCTCACTTCCTGTCTCTCTCTGCAGGACATGATGTTCATCTCCAGTCCCCATTTCTCACATCAAGTCAACGAGTTCTCCTGTTTCCAACGTCTCCACCTTCAGCCTATATTTTTCCATATTTGGTTGTTTCTGTTCGTGACGTGCCAGCTCAGGCCTGCCCCAAGAAGACAAGCCTTATAAACCTGCCTCCATGATCACTGCTGTCTCACTCACACCCACCTCTCTACCTGAACTCCTCCACACAGGTGAGTACGAACTGCTCTCTATTTTCTTCACAGTCAGGAAATGAACCATTTTTTTCATTATTTAATGTGTCAGCATCATATTTTTGGTTAATACCTTGATTTGTTCAGCCAACAGTCTAAAACTCAAACTGATTCAGTACTTTGATAAAACAGTTCAGCAGCTGATGGTTTCAGCTCTGATGTTCAAGATGATTATTATTTTAAAGATGATATCCGGTCTCAGGATGCAGCTTCTGAATATCAAACTGTATGTCATTTGAAAAAGGAGCCTAACATCAGGCATGTGCACAGACAGACCCCAGGTAAATAAGTGCCCTTTTTGCAAGAGGTGTTTTTTCTAGTTCTTTTAATCACTTTTTGAATTTGGCCCAAGGCATCAATTCTCAGTTAAAAGCGTGCAACTGCATCTGAGTCGAGCCCCTGCCTCTTTAACTTCCTCGGTCAGAGCCAGCACAGTTACACAAACACAAATGGAGCAGCCTGCAGAGCAACTTCACGTCTCCCTGACCTGCCTTCATTGTCAGAAAGGTAACAACAGTGATTGCCTTGAGCTGCAGCATTGTTTGTCACTGCAAGTCAAATCAAGTGACTCGAGTCCTCCACCTCTGGGCTGTACATCCTAGTCCAAACAGTCCTGTACACAGGAAGCTGTCAGCATCATACAGGAGTTTATTAGTCCAACATTTAGTTTTTCTTTCCTGCTCATTTTTATAAAAATGATCTCCATCAAGAAAATCATGAAGCTATTTCTGTGCTCACTTTGAATTAGACTGGATCTCACATCATAAACTGTCACACAACTCAAAATGTTAAAGAGCAGCTTTGTGATGATGCGTATCAACATTAAAATATGAAGAGACAGTAATAAAGGAGGCTACATAAACAGCAGGACAGGACCTCTGACAGATGAGTCTCCTCTCCAGCAGGTTTGAAGTCGTCTCCTCATCATGTCTGGCAGCAGCAGAACTCTGGACGATCTGAGGAACCTCTATCAGACCAGAAAAGGTTTTGATTCACAGCAGACGACCAAGTTCTTTGACGGCTGGGCGGCGACGTATGAGGAGGTCAGAAACTCATTCTCCGTCAGGTCTGATGGAGACTTCAGCAAAACAGCAAAAAAGTCCTCTAAGTCTCAAACACATGTTCTCTGTACCCTTTAAAAGGTGACGACAGATCTGACAGCTTAAAACAGCAGGAACCTCATCTTATCTTACCTGATCTGATCTCACCTCAGCATTAGTTCAGACAATCCTCACATGGTAGAAGCTGTTCAAAAATGACAAGAACAATTAAACGATTATCAGATCTGTTTCAGTTGATCGACTAATTACTAATTTTTTTTTGTCACATTGACAAACACGCTGACCTTGAACATGTTACATCAACAGGATATGGAGACACTCAAATACAGAGAGCCACATATGTTGGTAGATTTCCTGAATGCCAACTTCTCTGGGAGTCGTGAGGAGGCGCAGGTTCTGGACGTCGCCTGTGGGTCTGGACTGGTCGCTAAAGTGGTGAGCAAGAAACGTTTCACTTTAAAGGAGAATCTCAGTGTTCCTGGATAATTAAACCAAACTGCAGAGTTATATCACATTAGTGTTTGGATGGTGGGAATGGGTCTGAGCTGTGCCTTCATAAACTGTCCCATGTTAGTCGTCTTTTCTGGTGTGAAAGTCAAATAAGTGTCACAATGTAGGAAAGTCTCCACCTCACACACAGCAGAGCATCATAAAACTGACCGTCATCGTCTTCTTCTTCTTGTGTTCATAGATGGCTAAAGTGGGCTTCAGGCACTTTGTTGGAGTGGACAGCAGTAAAAACATGCTGGACCAAGCTGCAAAGAGCGGCCTCTATCAGGACCTCAAACTGGCCTTACTGGGAACAGAACCACTGCCTGCACAGACTGGTACACCACACACACTCTTCATACACTCTTCACTCAATCAGCTGATTAGAGTTAGACAGGATGAGGTTCACAGGAGGAGGTGGGGAATGAAGCTTCACTGAGCTCCTCTTTAACTGAACTCATTATTGAGGACATTGTAACCATGGTGACGTGGACTTTAGCAGGACAAAGACAAAAGAGACGGGTCAAAGCCTCTACAGGGAGGCGTTGGAGAGTGCAGGAGGTGAATTAGAGTCAAAGCTCTTCTTACTGACACACATATTGATTCATTCACTGTGACTTCCAGGATATCATTATCTCTGAGGTCCGTCCACAATATACGTCTCTAAATCTACTAAAATAACATATAAAAAGATGCTGCCTGAGAATCACCTTATCAAAAAGATAATCCACAATGAGCTTTGCACAGTTATTGTCTTTTACTGCAGCAGAGCCCAGACGCCCTGGTCTACTGTCCCATCCATGACAAAATGAAACCTTTGCCCTTTGTTTCATTATCACATTTTCTCACCACTGCAACGCTGCGTCTGTGAGATGGCAGCTGAATCAGGCTGCTTAGACCGAACAGACGAATATTCAGACTCAGAATATTTAAAAAAGTGTTGTGAATTTTTTAAAGTCACCTTTTACCACATTTACAGCAATATTTGTTAACTTAGAAATATAATAATAGTTAAATCTAAATATTAAATGTGGCACCTAAATGTTAAATGTTAAATTTAAATGTTCTGGGTGAAACTAAATATTTAGCTAATATGCAAATTCACACTGCCGGTCACCAGAAGTACCAAAATAAAAGCTCAGGATGGTCAGACTGTGTTTATAGAATCAAATAACGAATTAAAACCAACTTATCGGGGGAAATGAACACTTGAACATACATTAGCGTGATAATAACTACCTGAAATAACAAGAAACGTGTTTGGAGAAATTTTATTTGACGTGTACTTTGAGTTGTTAGTGTCCCTTCAGAGGGACTAACAACCTAAGCTAAGCTATTCAAATAAACACAAGAAGTTTGTGCTCTAATAAAAAAAAAAAAAAAAAGGGATCAGCACTCAGTGAATAATCCTCCTAAGCCCTACGATAAGCTATTATGGCAAGGCTTAACTATACAGACCCGTGAGCAGTGATAACTAGCATGTCTTTGGGGTCATCGGGTGGGAACCTCCTTTCACCGGTGTTTCGTCTAGTTAGTCCCACGACACCTCCAGGAGGCTAGACAGTGATCTCTGGCGTCCCAGAGACACTCCCCTAATGCCAGGTCTCACTGCTCCCCACACTAACCGAACAACCTCCTTTACCTTACCTATACTACCACAGAGGAGGTAGACCCAGGGAAGGAAGCCTTGTTAGGCTATCACAC